TAAAGAGTGCATGGTAAGGCTGGGTGTGGTGGCTCCTGCCTATAATTTCAGCACTTTGGGAGGCCAAGGTGGGAGGATCGTTGGAGCCCAGGAGTTCACAACCAGCCTGGCCAAGATAGTGAGACCCTGTCTCTACCCCCCAAAAAAAAAAAAATAGCCAGGCATAGTGGTGTACACGTGTAGTCCCAGCTACTTGGGAGGCCGAGGCAGGAGGATCGCTTGAGCCCAGGAGTTCAAAGTTGCAGTGAGCAATGATTGTGCCACTGTACTCCAGCCTCAGTGATAGAGTGAGACCCTGCCTCTTAAACAACAATTACCAAAAAAATAAAATAAATGGCAGCTCAGTTTTCAAAGAGGAATGATTCCTCAGTTGTCTCAAGTAGTAACAGATGTGGGAAGTGTTCTCTTGGAAATCACGACAGAGTTACAGCCTCATGAAAATGGCTGTGTCTTTGACATTTTAGGCTACATGATTCAAAAAATGACTCTGTATATCTGCTATTCATACAGGAACAAATAATTTATTTCTTGGTCCTATTTGTTTCCAAGCAATTCTTGTAGGTAAGAATCATCCATTTGTATGTGTTAGTAATCATATATTATCCTTTTTATGGTAAGGTTATGTGAAACATTCTTGCTAGTCCCTGTCTGACCTAAACTTTGATTTAATTTTGACTTAGGTCAACTAATAGGAAATGAAACCAACACGAACACTGCAGAGAAGCAAACAAAAGAGAAGGCATTTTAACTAGGGCCTTAGGAATTACAATTCCAGAGACACAAACCTAGGAAGCAGCTAAATTGTGTTCCGTACAGGTGCGATTAGGCAGGGGCTAATAAAGGTATTGTAAGTTTACACAACTGGAAGATTTTAGAAGAGTCCCTGATGGATGATGGCTGGTTAACAGCTCAGGATGTCTCTAGTCTGTGATCAATGTAGTTTGGCATAATTGTCTGTTTAGGAGGTTGGTCATCAAGCTTAGTATATAAATAGTTCAAATAAAATGTGGCTGGTTTTACCATTTGGCCAAGTTCAGCAGGTCACCTTCTATCTGGGTGTGTACGTGACAGAGGTCCTGCCTCCTTTCTAGATACCTCTGCCACGGCCAGTTCCGTCTTGGATTTTCTCTTCATACTTAACACCATGTGGCCCTCCATTCCTTAGCTGTCCATACTTATCAGCCAGGATTCTGGGAGATGGTAAAGTTCGCCTGGGTGCAGTATGTCAGCATCCTGCTTATCTTCCTCTGGGTGTTTGAAAGAATCAAGATCTTCGTGTTTCAGAATCAGGTGGTGACCACCATCCCTGTGACAGCAACGCCCCGGGGAGAAATGTGTAAGGAGCACTTATCCTAGGAAGGCCGTTTCTGAAGACTCGGCAGGACCGTGGCTGCCTCATTGTCATCTCCTGAGAACATCTTAGGACCTTTTGAAAGAGCCCAGAGGACACATGCGGGCTTGTGTGCTTTTCCCCTCAGAGACAACAGTTCTTTCCAGTTTTGCTCTACACAAGTTCCGTATCTTCAGAGCTCCTGCAGAATCACCAAGGACTAGTTTGTGGAAAGGTCTGAGAGTTCCTGGAGGCTATAATTAGCTTTTTGGGTTTTCTTCCTTGCCTTAGAGTTGAATTTCAGGAGAAAATGGCAGGCAGTTCAGACATCTTGGAAATAGTCCCATCTCTGGTCAAGCGGAGACTTTTCCTCTGTTGAACTGAGAAACACACTGTGCATTTCTTCCTTCTACTGTGAGCCACTCTTACGCTTTCCGGGGCTTTTTTGTGACAAACATGCCAATCACTAGCACTTTGCACCCCTGGGCATCTCCATTTCCCATTCAGAGCTTTGATTTCCAGAGCTGAGGCCTCTAACTGGAGACCTGGAGGGGCAGGGCCCAAGGGCAAGGGCTGCATTAGCACAGGCATGAGGGAGGGCTGCTGAAGGCGACTTGGACTGTCCACCTGCCCCAGCCCAACAGTCAGTCATCTGTAATCAGCTCGCTGAGCAGCCTTGGATCTTTGCCGAACTGTGGCTGGCTCTTCACCCTATTTTTCCCTCTCTCTGTGCCCCTGATGGCAGACTAAAGTCAGAGGGGCTGTTTCATTCCCAGCCCCCTCAGCAGCACTGAGGGAAGGAAGGATTGTCACAACAGGTTCTTTCTGGCCCTCATCCAACAGCCTGGGCACTTGGCCCTCCTCCTCCTTGACAGCCCTCCCCCTTCCTGCAAAGGACAGGGGCAACAGGAGTTGGTGTTGGGATTGGCTCCCACTGCCTGACAACCACAAGTTTATTTGGAAGGCTAGTGGGAAGCCCAGCGGCTGGCCTTTCCCCTGACTAAGGACCACAGTGCCCATCAGAGTAGGGCAGGCAGCTTTGGGAAGGACACAAGAAGCAGTGAGGGAGTAAAGAAGATGCTGGCCTGGGCAGGCCAGTCCAGCCTGGCCACTAGCAGAATGCCAAGCAGTTCAGTGGATTACCCTCGTGGCTAAGCAAGTGTCTGCAAGAGCAGAGATGGCTGGAAGGGGCCTCTGCACACGGAAGACGGCTTGTTCAGCCCATTCATCTCCTGAGGACGCGTGCAGTCTCCTCCAAGGACAGACGGAGCTGCTTTCTGATCCCAAGCAGGTCATTACCATGGGGAGGACATGGCCCCTGTGATCCGTGCTTCATGTTCACCCGGAAACGTACCCCTCAGTGTGTGTCTCAGTTTACCATGGAGATCAGTTCTCATTTTTAGTGCTCCATTAGGCTGACGAAAAACAATTTTTGAAACAAAGCTATTTTGAAGTATTCAAGCAGAGGAATTCCCTAACACTGTCCCCGTTGTCTTTTTTTAATATTCAGGCTGTTTTATATGCCTAAATTTTTTTCTTAAGATCTAAATGAAAAATAGTTTCTTGTTTAAATCCCCATAAGGCAATGAGATATGGAAGGATGACAAGATAACGTATAAACATTAGTTTGCATTTTATTAAATTATTCTAATGCAAATTTTGTATAAAGAACCCATGATGTTTTGTACCTTTCTAATTAAAATGTTCAAAATGAGGCCGAGCATGACGGTTCATCCCTGTAATCTCAACGCTTTGAGAAGCCAAGGCGGGAGGATCACTTGAGCCCAGGAGCTTGAGGCTGCAGTGTGCTGTGATCACACTGCTGCACTCCAGCCTGGGTGACAGACTGAGACCCTGTCTCTTAAAAAAAAAAAAAGTCAAAATGGAAGATGGCATGTACCTTTTTCAAGAGAAAGGGTTTGGAATGGGGAAGAATAAGGAGGGCAGAGGTTGCACACACCTGTTTTCATTACTCATCTGCGGCCATGCTTTACGAGGCTCTGCCAAAGACCTTGGAACTTCCACTAAGTCTTCGATGAAAGTCCCCTAGTTCTTCCCCAAGTAGATGAGTTTTCAGTGGAATTCACATGCCATGTGAAATCTACGTGCTGCATAATTATGACTGTTTCTGGTGAATTTGAAATTATTTACAGACCAGATCTTGATAGTTTCTGACTCTGAATCATAGCATAGCTGCAAGAGGGAAATAAAAGGCAAGAGGCTGGAAGCTGTGGCTCACGCCTGTAATCCCAGTACTTTGGGAGGCAGAGATGGGTGGATCATGAGGTCAGGAGATCGAGACCATCCTGGCCAACATGGTGAAACCCAATCTCTACTAAAAATACAAAAATTAGCTGGGCGTGGTGGCACATGCCTGTAATCCCAGCTACTTAGGAGGCTGAGGTACGAGAATTGCTCAAACCCGGAAGGCGGAGGTTGCAGTGAGCCAAGATCGTGCCATTGCAATCCAGCCTGGCGACAGAGCTAGACTCTGCCTCAAAAAAAAAAAAAAAAAAAAGGCAAGAAATATACGGGATTTTATTAACTCAGCTCCGACCCATTGCTAAGTTAGGGTTTACTGAATATTTGGAGGCAGAAAGACTCCTGATTTTGCCAAATGATTAGTACAGTTTTGGGTTAAGTCGGATGAGACCCCCCTAATATTCCATCAAGTAAGGCTAATAAAGCAATTATTTCTTTACCATTTTTTTCTCCTTCCAGCTTTTGTTGTAGACTCATGGGATATATGTATGAGTTTCGTATATAGGTAAATTGTACTTCTTGGGGGTTTGGTGTACAGATTATATCATCACACAGGTAATAAGCATAGTACCAGTAGGTGGTTATTCTTTTTTTTTTTTTTTGACAGAGTCTCACTCTATCACCCAGGCTAGAGTGCAGTAGCATGATCTCAGCTCACTGCAGCCTCTACCTCCCAGGTTCAAGCGATTCTCCTGTCTTAGCTTCCTGAGTAGCTGGGATTACAGGTGCCCACCACCACGCCCGGCTAATTTTTGTATTTTTAATAGAGACAGGGCTTCACCTTGGTGGTCAGGCTGGTCTCAAACTCCTGACCTCAAGTGATCCGTCTGCTTTGGCTCCCAAAGTGCTGGGATCACAGCAGTTTGATCACAGCAGTTATTATGGTTGGCATTCTGGCACACATCTTTCTAATCTTTTTTGTGGTAACCTTTTTAGCATCATAAACAACACTTCTGTAAACCTTGCGTAGAAATCCTTGTTGCTGGTTTGTTTCCTTAAGATACATTCAAAAAACTTACGACGGTTGTTAAGGATCTTAATTCATTGCCAAACCACAGCCAGGAAAGACTGTGCTAATTTCTACTCCCAGCAGCGGGGACTTCTTGTTTCAGATACCACTGTGGATTAAAGGACTTCCCAATGCGCTATCCTTTTCAGATGACTGGACTCTGCCCGTTTGTTTGTTTGTTTGTTTGTTTGTTTGTTTGTTTTTGAGATGGAGTCTTGCTTTGTCGCCCAGGCCGGAGTGCAATGGCCCCATCTCCGCTCACTGCAACCTCCACCTCGGGGGTTCAAGCGATTCTCCTGTCTCAGCCTACCTAGTAGCTGGAATTACAGGCATGTGCCACCACGCATGGCTGATTTTTGTGTTTTTAGTAAAGACGGGGTTTCACCATGTTGGCCAGGCTGGTCTTGAACTCCTGACCTCAAGTGATTTGCCTGCCTCCCCTCCCAAAGTACGGGGATTACAGTCGTGTGCCACCACTTCGGGCTGACCTGTTATTTGTAAGGGGTGGGTGGGGAGCTTTTATTTACTGAAACATATCCTGTATTCGTCAGAACCTGTTATCAAGCCTGCGCCTCTGGGCAGAGGCTAGGGCAGGTAGGGCACAGCTCCTAAGGCCACCTGGTCTCAACTCCTCCCAGCTGGGACGCTGCACCGGGAGACAGCGTTGGTCCCTGTGTCAAGGTGCCTGGGTCTTGGCTTGGGGCTGAGATTGGGGCCTTAGGAAGGGTTTGGATTCCAAGTCCCTTCCCTGCAAGGATGCCCCGGAGAGCAAGGAGGGCCAAGATTAAGATTCGACTTCCTTCACTAGGGCCTTTGTCCTCCGAGGAGCTCCCAGGTTCTCTGGGGATTTGCGGGGGGACGGGTTACAACGTTTATTTGTGGTCAGTTAGATGAGAAGTGACTCTGCCAGCGTCCTTTGACATCCTCGGCTAAACCCCGCGCCTCTTAGAGCCCCAGCCCACCTGGGCCCTCCGGCCCTGCCCTCGTCCGGCGCCCCTCCCCGAGGCGTGGCCCCTCGATCAGGGGTGGGGAGAGGGAGCTGGGGGCAAAAGTTGCTCGTTCCTTCCTTCTTCCACTTCCCTGGCTCCTGCCGGCCACCCCGGGGCCGCAGCCACGTCTGAAAGCGCCTGACCGGGCAGTGCCGAGGATCGCGGGCCGCAGTGCCGGGCTCCGGAGGGAGCTCTGCGCCGCGACCTTCCCTGTGGTAGCCCCAGGACACTCCCACCCTCGACATCCCATTCCGAGACTCCTGCCCTGCTCCCAGATTCTCTGTGCCTCGAGTCTCCAGGAGCTTTCAGTGTCTTGGTGCCCCCCGACTCTCGTCCATGCCTCTTAGACCCCCTTTCCCGGCGTCACCAGGTGTCCCTTAATAGCCTTGGGACCTTAAGGAGCAAGTCAGCCCCTGCGGACTTTCCCAGTGAAGAGGAAGCTGGCTGTGCGGTGGTACTTGGGAGAGACTGGGAGCCTTTGCTGAGCCCAGAGAGAGAGGCGTCCCTCTCGCTGCCCCTCCAGGTCGGGCAGACACGCCAAGCTTTGAGGTACTTTGGTTCTTCATTCTCCACGGGGGGTGTCCCCACACTCTGTTGAGCTGGGGGCCGGGCCAGTAACACAGCTGGGACGCTCCTCTGTCCAGCACCGGGGGCCTGGGGTGGCGGGAGGAGCTGGAAGTGGCTTTTCCATCAGCAACGTGGAAAGTTCATCGCCCCTGCTAGCGCTGGTTTGGAAGTGTCTTGCTGCGGCTTCGGCTGCACGCAGGAATCCTCACTGCGCGGGGCGGGGGTGAGGGGGCGGTTCTTATTCCATACTTGGGTTTCAAAAGGTGGGGCTTTCAAAAGCTCTCCATAAAATTCTTGAGAAAAAATAGCTTGGTGAGTTAATTTGGAACCAGACTCCGGGGAATTGGAGTCGTGCCTCACTGCTTCTAGGGGCTTGATGTTGGGCTTCAGGAAAGGCCCTCTGGGCCCCAGGACACTACAGGTGCCTAGGGAACGTTTTTTTGTTTGTTTTGAGATGGAGTCTCGCTCTGTCGCCCAGGCTGAAGTGCAGTGGCCCGATCTTGGCTCACTGCGACCTCTGCCTCCTGGGCTCAGGGGATTTCTTGCTCAGCCTCTGGAGTAAGTGGGATTACAGATGCACGCCACCACACTCAGCTAATTTTTGTATTTTTAGTAGAGACGGTGTTTTACCATGTTGGCCAGGCTAGTCTCAAATTCCTGACCTCAGGTGATCCACCCGCCTCAGGCTCCCAAAGTGCCGGGATTACAGGCGTGAGCCACTGCACTGGGCCCAAATTTTTGTGTTTTGTTTGTTTGTTTGTTTTTTTCAGATGGAGTCTCACTCTGTCGCAGAGCCTGGAGTACAATTGCGCCGTCTTGGCTCACTGTAACCTCCACCTCCTGGGTTCAAGCGATTCTCCTGCCTCAGTCTCCCAAGTAGCTGGGATTACAGGCATGAGCCACCATGCTCAGCTAATTTTAGAGATGGGGTTTCACCATGTTGGCCAGGCTGGTCTTGAACTCCTGACCTCAGGTGATCCACCCGTCTTGGCCTCCCAAAACACTGGGATTACAGGCATGAGCCACCACACCTGGCCTAATGTTTTTTTTGTTTTGTTTTTTGTTTTTTGTGTGTGTGTGTGTGATGGACGGTCTTGTTGCCCAGGCTGGAGTGCAATGGCATGATCTCAGTTCACTGCAACTTCTGTCTCCTGGGTTCAAGCGACTGTCCTGCCTCAGCCTCCAAGTAGTTGGGATTACAGGCACCTGCCACCACACCTGGCCTAATTTTTGTATTTTTAGTAGAGCTATGTTTTGCCTTGTTGGCCAGGCTGGTCTTGAACTCCTGGCCTCTGGTGACTACCCACCTAGGCCTCCCAAAGTGCTGGGATTACAGGCGTAAGCCACTGTGTCCGACCTCTAGCAAATGTTGACATTCCTTTCTCTTCCCTTTTACATGGAGGCAAGGCAGTCAAGAATTGCACTTTTGGCTGGGCGCTATGGCTCACGCCTGTAATCCCAACACTTTGGAAGGTCAAGGCTGTGATGCCCTCAGCTCTACTTTTGGAAAATTCTGTCCTGTTGTTATTATTTTTCTAAAAATTAAACGTAATAAATATGTGCCCCCAGAAAAGAATCAAAAAGGGATAGATTTGGAGGGGAAGGGGAAGTTCTCTTCCAGGATGGAAGAGTTCTCTGGACAAAGAGGCTTAGGAGTGGTGACCCCTACCACAGAGCCCTGCACGTGGGAGTCTGACTCTTGGACTAAAGCCCTAGCCTCCGGCACTTTCTTACTGGGTATTCATGTCCTCTGAGCCCCCACTGCTTCAATTAAAACAGATAGGGATGCTTATTTCTGCCTCTTAGGGACTAGGAGGATAACATTCAATCATGAAATGAAAGTGCGTATCATAGGGCCTGCCTTAACTGGTTCTCCCTAACTTTGAATCTTTGGCCAGTTGTTCACTGTGCTGAATGTAAGTCTCCTTAATCAGAAAGCTCCCCAGTGAGGAATCTTCTGAGACTCTGTATGGCATAGGGTGATTCACCACCTTCTTTTTTTTTTTTTTTTTTTTTTTTTGAGACGGAGTCTCGTTCTGTTGCCCAGGCCTGGAGTGCAGTGGCGCGATCTCGCTCACTGCAAGCCCCGCCTCCCGGGTTCACGCCATTCTCCCTGCCTCAGCCTCCAGTACTGGACTACAGGCGCCCCACCTCGCCTGGCTAGTTTTTGTAGTTATATTAAGATATACGACGGTGATATGTCACGGCTTAGATAGCTCAGCTAGTGAACCTGGTAATTAGCAAATCTTCACTTTGAGCGCAGTCTCTAATTGATGATCCTGCCCGGATGTCCATCTCCAAATTATTTATCGAGTTCCTCCCAAGGCTAGCGATTATCACTCAGCTAATGGAGGCCAAGTATGCCAGAGCAAAGGCACTTGAAATACAACAAAATATCATTCCAACAAACACTACATATGTAAGGGCCCACCATCATCTCTCACGAACAATTAATTTAAATTTTGTCCTCCTGCCTCTAACACATATAGACTCTGCGAACATTGCTGCTTGGAGAGATACATATGCATCATCATGGTAGAGCTATAAAACATAACCACAAACTCAATAGATTTTAGGCGTTGGGAGATACTTTAAAGAATCCTCGCCAACAACATAAGAGCGGGCTAACCAACACACATCAGGCACAGACATTTACGCAAATTTTACATTTTAATTTACATCATAGTTGTCCTCTACACTTACATATGGCATAGGGTGTTAATTCGCATTAGCAATATCTACTTAAGTTGCACAAACACACACAGATGCCGGATGTTGACACACACACCCACTGAGCAGCAGTTATCTGCGCGAGTAAGCTAATCCACCAACATTACTCTTGGTACATTTGCTCTAGATCAATAACCTGGCCGGGGGCGACTTCGACAATTCACATACACAAAAACACGTGTCCCACAGGAGAGCGTTCTCGCGATCCATTCTTCCGGCCCCCTAGCTGTCTCCCTTGCGCCGGAGTGAATGGGAGATTCATTACATCTGCCATCTTCGCGATCCTGGTCTAAACACCAGCAGATTCATCGTCAGACGAATCTCTATTCTATTTCCACCCACAGAATCGACCCCTTATTGTGAACGATGCCTACACTTTCTCGCTGAGCGGATATCTGCCTCGACACGGTCCCGCCTCACCTCACTATATCTCAACTAATCTTACCATCATGCAATCACCATCCCAAGTCCCTGTGTTCACTGTTCTCCTTGCTTTGTTCTTATATCATCCTTATCCCATCTACCGAGATACTATTCAAAATGTCTATTGTATTGTATTTTTGGTTTCATATCACACACAATTCTTCTCAGCGTCATGTGACTAGATAGTCATGCTTAATTATACGCCACATATTCGTCAGTTGTATCTTCTAGAAACATCTTAATAGCTAATCAAATTACTAAGATTTTCGATGCTCACTTATAATATCCACACCCATAAATTCATTCATTCTTGATTGTTGATACATTGTGTAAATTATTTCTTTAACTGAACTACCAGTCTTCCCTTGTTCTTTTCCACAACCTTCCATCAACCGCCCTAAATCTGCCCTGCTTCACGTCGCCCTCTGCAACTCACTCTTCCTCTGTCTTCCTTAGCATCTTCCCTGTCCGCGCGCGCGAGCATAACATCGAACGCTCATCTTCTCTCTGTTATCATAATACAGGCTACATACAGTTATTATGTGCGTCATCTATCAATTCGTCAAACTATATACACCCAGCCATCATACACCCCTTATCTATATCTACGTACGGCCGCACTACATCAGATCAAACGTGGAGGCTATCTCATAGCCTTCTGCGAAAGTCAATCGCATCACTTACACAAACACCGGATCGCTACATCTTCCTAGGCCTTAAAAGAACCTCCTTTCGTATCGCCCTTCTCTTATCGGCTTAACACCATAATTATTATATAATTTATGTGGAGACTATATATATACCGTAGCATCAGCTGCCTGGCTGTGGAGGAAGACAGAAGTGTTTGTGGTGTCACAGAGCGCATGAGCGTATCGTTCAACACACAGCACGCCACCTACTAGAGCAATCTATCTTCATTACATTCGAGATTCACCAGAGGAGGCTATGAGGCAGACTTTCGCAGTAATACATGGTTACTGTACACAATGCTATGGGGAGAGGTGATCCTAGGGTGAGGAAGCTGGAAACAATTAGCTAGAAGCGCTGAACACCAGCTTAACTAGAGCTAAATCACTTAAATCTGTCGAATACATGCACATGCCAGTGGACTCCCACAAAGCCCATGCGCGCGAGAGCTATTACAATCGTCTTTCCTCCCAGCTAGCTTAATTGAAGACAAGTGAGCCCGTCGTCTTAATTACCATGGAAACAGACAGGTCATAACGACGAGAACAATGAATAGAGCTTGATCAATAGACCCCAACATTAGAAAGCAACATTATTTAAAAACAAGGATTGGTTAGACTCTGCATTTCTTTACCAGAGCAAGACACACACACTAGTACACACAACACACAACTTACCATGGCACAAAAAAAAAAACAGAGTAATCAACCTACAGGCACATACGATTGGAACATTGGAAGAGACACAGAAATACCTTATACCTTAAGAATGATTCGACTCAATACTCATTCTCTTGGACACACATTTATCATTGCACTTTCAAAGAAATGCCATCTAAAAATCACAGGTATTTATACTCCTTAACTTGCTGACTCAAATGTCTTTTACAGGCCCACTCCAACCATCAATCATCTCTTTCTCCATCACGACATGAGTGGTCAACATTCCCTCAGGGTAGAAAACAAACAATGGTGTTCCGCGCTACACGGATATGAAGCAACAAAAACACTACACACAAAATCACATGAGTATAACTTCTATCTATAGATCTAGTTCGCAGCACTGGAAAAGGTACGCAGTCCGGACCGGTGCGGTGTAGGAGGAGGTGGGGGGCTACTCTCCTCATCTTCCAGGTTTTCCAGGAGTGGGTATGGGGATCCAGAAGGTAGCTCAGGAGTCAGCAGGTGACAGAGGTGTTGGGCATTCTCCACTCACTCCAGTCCCTGCATTGAGGGGAAGGAGCAGAGATGAGATCTGCTCACAAGTTAGACCCTGGCTTCTCTCAATGGGTGATGTGGACAGGGGAGTGGGGCAGGCAAGCAGAAAAGGATGTAGGAGCAAGGAGAAAAATTCCAGGCTCCTCCCTTCCAAAGTCGCCCAGCCTTGAGATCATTGCGGATGCAACAGGTGCAAACAGAAGAACACTTTGGGATCTTGGAATGCGGGAGGCCGGCTCAGTGTTCCTTCCACCCTGTGAGACATGTGTGATATTCTTAAGGTCCACTAAAGGCTCAGGGTGGTTGGAGGCCAGAGAATGGCCTGGGAGATACAGGGATTGGAAGGGTAGGTGGCCTGTGGGTGTCTCCTCTGGGGGGAGACTGCCCAGGTGGAGGGGGTTCTTCCTCTCCAGATGTAGCTCAGCACAGGGACAATAACAGTAACAGGGGCACGTGTGTAAGGAATACTTTCCCAGGTCCCCTCTTCATAGGTATTTGCAGCAGCATCTCACAACAGCCCTAAGAGATTAAATGTTGCAAATCCCATTCTACAGAGGTGGAAATTGAGCCTCAGAGAAGTTAAGTCACTTGCCCCAGGTCTCATAGCTCCCCATTGGCAGTGCTGGGATTCGGAGCCAGCTCTCTCGCCTCCATCCATCAGTAGACCCGGCCAGTTCCCAGCCATTTGGAGAAGTGCCCTACTCAGACTCATTCCACCTCAGCAAGCCTGGCGGTGCTGTGACATCCATCCACCTAAGTCCTCATCAAGCCCTTTAGCTCCACAACCCAAAAGGTCTATGAGGTATCCTGAAGCAAAAGACAGGCAGGACAGTTCTGCTCCCACCCCGGAGAGCTTTCTATGTACAGGGCTGTCTCTCTCTATAGGACTCTGATCTCCTCTCCTTCCTGTTTTGCCAGGTGTCGAGACATCTCCCATGGGTTTGTGATCAGTGTTGCGGCTCTCCCAGCAGCCCTGGACAGTGGTGAGTTCCCTCAGCTGGCTGGGACAGTACTCTGCTCTCACCTCTGCTTCTCTGGCTCCATGCCAGCTCCACCTCAACTGGTCTCCTTGTGAACCCACAGGGCTCCAGGACACGCTCCCTCTGGAGCCCATGCTGCCTTCAGCACTTCACCCCCAACCAATGATGGCAACAGTTGGTGTTCTTTGTGCACTTTATTTACTTAGTTATTTTTAATGACAAAAGTTTTCTTTTCTTTTTTTTTTTTTTTTGAGACAGAGTCTTGCTCTCTTGCCCAGGCTGGAGTGCAGTGGCGCTATCTTGGCTCACTGCCAGCTCTGCCTCCCAGGTTCATGCCATTCTTCTGCCTCAGCCTCCCAAGTAGCTAGGACTACAGGCGCCCCCCACCACACCCAGCTAATTTTTCCTATTTTTAGTAGAGACGGGGATTCACCATGTTAGCCAGGATGGTCTCCATCTCCTGACCTCGTGATCCACCCACCTCGGCCTCCCAAAGTGCTAGGATCACAGGCATGAGCCACCACGCCCGGCCGACAAAAGTTTTATACCTGCCTGTTAAAAAAGTTATATAGTGCAGAAGCACACCACGTAAAAGGTGCGATCCTCAGTTATGGGCATGACTACATATTTCCTTCCCCCATCTTCATTATTATAACCCCCCAATCCCCCCAAATCCTGTGAGCCAGGTACCAGAATTATCCCTGTTTTACACACGGGTAAAGTGATCGGTCACAGAGAGATTTAAGTGATCTTCATAAGCAAGATCATAGGCCAGGAAGTGGCAGAGCCAGGATTCAACCTCCACAAGCCTGGTGGTGCTCTGACATCCCCGGAAGCCCCCATCAAGCCCTTTTAGCTCAGCAACCTAAAAGGGCCTCTCTAAGAGGTATCCTGAAGCAAAAGACAGAAGTTCTCTTTGAAACATAGTATTTTTCTCTACAGATAGATAGCCTATAGGTATGTAAGTAGGTGGGTGGGTAGGTAGACAATTTGAGGGTATCCCACATTTGTCTGCAGCTGGACTTCTGAGCACAGTCTATATTCTGGGCTATATCTTGACTCCATATTCCTGGGAAAGTGCTCGACTGAGACCTTGGGAGTCTTGGGAAGTCCAATGGGTAGGGTAGTCAAATCCAAGGGCTGCTCCCTGAGGGCACTGGGCAGTAATTGGGGCGTGGGATGGGCGTGAGGGCCCTGGTCCCTAAAGTTGCCCACTCTGCCCGCCCGAAGGCCTCCAGCCGCCAGCATGCGGCTGCCACGCTTCTCCAGCAGGACAGTGACCGTGCTCCTCCTGGCACAGACCACCTGCCTCCTGCTCTTCGTCGTCTCCCGACCAGGGCCTTCATCCCCAGCGGGCCGCGAGGAGCGTGTGCACGTGCTGGTGCTGTCCTCGTGGCGCTCAGGGTCGTCCTTCGTGGGCCAGCTCTTCAGCCAGCACCCCGACGTCTTCTACCTGATGGAGCCCGCGTGGCACGTGTGGACCACCCTGTCGCAAGGGAGCGCCGCAACGCTGCACATGGCCGTGCGCGACCTGATGCGCTCCGTCTTTTTGTGCGACATGGACGTGTTTGATGCCTACATGCCACAGAGCCGAAACCTGTCCGCCTTTTTCAAGTGGGCAACGAGCCGCGCGCTGTGCTCGCCGCCCGCCTGCAACGCCTTTCCCCGAGGCGCTATCAGCAAGGAGAACATGTGCAAGACACTGTGCACGCGGCAGCCCTTCAGCCTGGCCCGGGAGGCCTGCCGCTCCTACAGCCACGTGGTGCTCAAGGAGGTGCGCTTCTTCAACCTGCAGGTGCTCTACCCGCTGCTCAGAGACCCCGCACTCAACCTGCGCATCGTGCACCTGGTGCGCGACCCGCGGGCCGTGCTGCGCTCCCGGGAGGCGACGGGCCCACTACTGGCACGCGACAACGGCATCGTGCTGGGCACGAATGGCAGGTGGGTGGAGGCCGACCCTCAGCTGCGCCTGATGCGTGAGGTGTGTCGCAGCCATGTGCGCATCGCGGAGGCCGCCACACTCAAGCCGCCACCCTTCTTGCGCGGCCGCTACCGCCTGGTGCGCTTCGAGGACCTGGCTCGGGAGCCGCTGGCAGAGATCAGAGCACTCTACGCCTTCACCGGGCTGACCCTCACGCCCCAGCTCAAGACCTGGATCCACAACATCACCCACGGGTTGGGGATCGGCAAGCCAATCGAGGCCTTCCACACTTCGTCTAGGAATGCGCGCAACGTCTCCCAGGCCTGGCGCCACGCGCTGCCCTTCACCAAGATCCTGCGCGTGCAGGAGGTGTGCGCCGACGCGCTGCAGCTGCTGGGCTACCGGCCTGTGTACTCTGAGGACCAGCAGCGTGACCTCACCCTGGATCTGGTGCTGCCACGAAGCCCAGACCACTTAAGCTGGGCGTCACATGACTGAGAACTCTGGGCCTTAGAGCAGGCCTCGAATTGTGGTTACCAGGCCCAGGAGGCGACTGCACGGTGGAGAGGGAGCTGGGATGCATGGGGAAGCAGGTCCCTACTATGAACTGGGAGTTTGGGGTCCTCCCCTGAGGTAGGCAAGGACTGCACGTTTCTTTTTCTCCTGATTCTCGGTTTTCCTTTGAGTCCTCTGGAGCTGCCTTCTCATCAGGTGCACTCTTCATGGAAAGCAACACTTGCCCCCACCTCCTCTGGGCACAGGGAGTAAGTTCTGCTAAATTAAATTAAATGTGTTCCAGGTCGGGCGCGGTGGCTCACGCCTGTAATCCCAGCATTTTGAGAGACTGAGAAGGGTGTGGATCAGCTGAGGTCAGGAGTTCGAGACCAGCCTGACCAACATAGTGAAACCCCCTCTCTACTAAAAATGCAAAAATTAGCCAGGCATAGTGGCACACTCCTATAATCCCAGCTACTTGGGAGGCTGAGGTGGGAGGGAGGTTACAGTGAGCTGAGATCGTGCCACTGCACCCCAGCTTGGGCAACAGAGCAAGACTCTATCAAATAAATAAATAAATAAATTTGTTCAAAAATCCTGCAATCTAGTGAATTGTAACCTCATTTTTTTCTCTTTTTATTGTGTGATTCCATTTATTTAAAGCAGAAAAACTAGTCTAGGTGATAGAGGTCAGAATAGGGGATACTTTGTAGGGAGGATTTGACTGGGATGTAACCTTATTTAATATGTAAACAAACTACAACCTGACCAGAGTATATTCTTGTAAGGAAAAAGGAGTCTCCTCCAACCTTAGCAGCCAGCTTTCAGCCAGGGGCAGACCGCAAACTGACCGGATGTGTCCAAATTAGACGAAGGCTGAGCTGTCACCAATCGGCCTATATCCACTGCCACTTCCTTTTTTCTGTTTATAAACGCTGCTTGTCCACTGTTGCTGAGTGGAGGTCTCTGAGACCTCTCAAATATAGATCTCTCATTTAATGGGGTAAGTTTGGGCTTTAATCGCCATCATCCCCAGAACAAAGACTGACCAATTGGACTGAAATGCTGTTGAACTATCTTTATTGCGTGGACTTTGAGTTATTTGACTAGTTGTTTGTAGAAACTCCTGATAAGTAGTGTACTTCTGTTTCTTGGCATTGTCCACTCATAGTCATCATAATAGTCTCCCTGGCCGGGCGCAGTGACTCACGCCTGTAATCCCAGCACTTTGGGAGGACTAGGCAGGCAGATCGCTTGAGCTCGGGAGTTTGAGACCAGCCTGGCCAACATAGTGAAACCCTGTCTCTCCTAAAAATCCAAAAAATAGCTGCTGTGGTTGTGCATGCCAGTAATCCCAGCGACTCAGGAGGTTGAGGCAGGAGAATGGCTTGAACCCAAGAGGTGGAGGTTGCAGTGAGCCAAGATTGCGCCACTGCACTGCAGCCAGGGTGACAGAGCAAGACTTCATCTTAAATAATAATAATAGGCCAGGAGCGGTGGCTCAAGCCTGTAATCCCAGCACTTTGGAAGACCGAGGCAGATGGATCACTTGAGGTCAGGAGTTCAAGACCAGTCTAGCCAACATGGTGAAACCCCATCTCTACTAAAATACAAAAATTAGCCAGTGTGGTTTTGCATGCCTGTAATCCCGGCTACTCAAGAAGTTGAGGCAGGAGAATTGCTGGAACCGAGGAGGTGGAGGTTGCATTGAGCCAAGATTGCGCCACTGCGCTCCAGCCTGGGTAACAGAGTGAGACTCCCTCTCAAAAATAATAATAAAAAAACAATAATAATAGTCTGTCTGATGTGTTGCTTCCCCTGGGAAGTCTTACATACTCCTATGCATCCATCCTTTATACATCAACTGGCCTATTAGGGTTCGAATAACAAAAACATGAAGAAAGCATAAAGAATCATCCAACTAAGGTGAAATCATGAATTGTGAAGTCAATACTGAAACAAAACAAGTCCATTATGATGGTGACAGAAAATGGAGTCAGGGCCCAAGGTTTTGGTCAATCTGTCAAAATTGAGAGGCTGACCAAAAGGCAGAAATGTTTAAATTCAATTAAATTTGTCCCAAAGTTCCCAGCACTTTGGGAGGCCAAGGTGGACGGATCACGAGGTCGAGATCGAGACCATCTTGGCCAACATGGTGAAACCCCGTCTCTACTAAAATACAAAAAGGTAGCCAGGCATCGTGGCACACGCCTATAATCCCAGCTACTCGTGAGGCTGAGGCATAGAAATCGCTTGAACCCAGGAGGCAGAGGTTGCAGTGAGTTGAGATTGCACACTGCACTCCCAGCCTGGTGGACAGAGCAAGACTCCGTCTCAAAAAAATAATAATAATAATTTGGCCCAAAGCTGCTGCGCCATACCTGTTGAACTGCAATCTAACTTAGTATTTAAGTAAACTGCCTCCCAACCAGACTATATTCTTTGTTTTTTTTTGAGACAGAGTCTCGCTCTGCCGCCCAGGCTGAGTGCAGTGGCCGGATCTCAGCTCACTGCAAGCTCCACCTCCCGGGTTCATGCCATTCTCCTGCCTCAGCTTCCCGAGTAGCGTGGGACTACAGGCGGCCCGCCACCTCGCCCGGCTAGTTTTCTGTATTTTTTAGTAGAGACGGGGTTTCACCGTGTCAGCCAGGATGGTCTCGATCTCCTGACCTCGTGATCCGCCCGTCTCGGCCTCCCAAAGTGCTGGGATTACAGGCTTGAGCCACCGCGCCCGGCCTGAGACTATATTCTTGTAACAAATAGCTGAATCTCAGCAACTGTGCTTTAACCAGTCACAGGCTACCAACTGATTAGACCAAGTCTGTGTAAGGTAAATGCTGAGCTGCACCCCATCAGACTGTTTATTTGTGCTACTTCCAACAAATTTGGCCTACCAGTGTTGCTGAGTGGAATCAGGGTGCTGCCCGATTCATAAATTTTCTTTGCTCAAATAAAGTCTGCTTAATTTGACTAATGTTTTTCTATTAACAGTTCAGATGACTTGGCCTCTACCCAAACTCTTTCTTTCCCCTAGACTCCCCTCTCTTGGAATGCATCCTGAAGCAGCTGAAAAGGGGTGCCCTAGGCCCAGCTGGGAGCAAAATCTGGTGATATTGCTTCTGAATATCCCACATGTGCCCCCCCCCCCCCACACACACACACACTCACATGCATACACAGCCTGGACTCTGTTCCCTTTATGCCCCTGGCACCACGCTCCATCAAAGCCATTGACCTTTATATCCCCCTGTGTCTTCACTGAAAAAGAGGTATATCAGGCCAGACGTGGTGGCTCATGCCTATAATTATCAATTACCCAGTCTCTGGTATTCTGTTACAGCAGCACAAAAGGGACTAAAATAGGCTCCTTAACAAAAAGATTCACAGACAAGAAGTTTGTTTGTTTGTTTTGAGACAGTGTCTTGCTTTGTGGCCCAAGCTGGAGTGCAGTGGTTCCATCTTGGTTCACTGCAACCCCCACCTCCCTGACTCAAGCGATTCGCTCATCTTTTTTTTTTTTTTTTTGGGATGGGTTTTTGCTCTGTCGCCCAGGCTGGAGTGCAGTGGCCGGATCTCAGCTCACTGCAAGCTCTGCCTCCCGGGTTTACGCCATTCTCCTGCCTCAGCCTCCCGAGTAGCTGGGACTACAGGTGCCTGCCACCTCGCCCGGCTAGTTTTTTGTATTTTTTTAGTAGAGACGGGGTTTCACCATGTTAGCCAGGCGATTCACTCATCTTAACCTCCCAAGTAGCTGGGACTACAGGCACATCACTATGCCAGGCTAATTTTTGTATTTTGGGGGACTACATGTGTTTTGGTATGTAGCCCAGGTTGATCTGCAACTCCTGTGCTCAAGCAATCCACCTGCCTCAGCCTTCCAAAGTGCTGGGATTACAGGCATGAGCCACTGTGCCTGCCCAAGAACAGTTTATTAACACATGCAGCATACATCACGCAGGACAAACCTAAATGAAAAGTAACAACACAGTGGCTCAGAACACTGCCTTACACAGCATCTTCCAAAGGACACAATAAATTTGTAGAGAAATAACAGGACAAAAGAAAGTTTTAGGCCTCCAAAGGTGAGAAACTGTGCAAAGGTAAATATCCGAGAGGAAGCTGATGCAGCAGGATTTGTCTGCAGCAGCCTCTGGTACCGCCTCTGGCTGGGCAGAGTTAAGGGTTGTCTCCAGTGAAGGAGAGTTTATGTCATGCCTTTAGGCAGAAAAGGGAGGGAAACCTGACCTTTTCCTGTATTTTCTGCTTCTTAATTGCCTTCAGCTGAAAATCATTTTTATGTGACAGAGGCATAATCTGGGCCGATGCCTCTGCTTTCCTCCAGCTGAAGAGAACCTGCGTGGGCTCCTTTGCTTTGGACCTCTGCCTCCGCCACGGAGAAAGGCCAGGCCAGGCTGCTGGACAAGCAGGGACCGTGAGAAGGGGAGTTCAGGTGTCCCAATCCAGGCCATCCTAGACCAGCCAGCCCCTCACCAGCCCCCGCTGATCAGCACGCAGCCACTTCTGCTGCCTTCTGCTGCTGCCGCCAAAGCGAGTCCAGGGTTCACCCAGATTCAGAGGTGGGGAAACTGAGTCCACCGCTTGAGAGGAGTAGCTATAAAGACATATGAGCGAGAGCAGCTGAGCCCAGCTGAGCCCAGCACTGCCGGCCAAGTCGAAGACTTTAGGACCAGCCACACGTGTTCGGTGGCCACACGTGGCCAGTGGCTCCATGTTGGACAATGCCAATCAGACTCCTCATTCTCATTACATTTGTATACCCTTCTGGCCCTGAAATCTTTCTATATCTGCATCTGACTAAGATGGTCTATTAGAGAAGAACATCTACTTCATATTTCCATCCTTTGGAAACCCGAAGAGCTAGCAGAAGTTTTGACTTTGCAATTGATCCTACACATTCAGATTCCTAGCGTCTATAGATTGTGTAAGATGGAAGAGAGACTACAAGGGCTCCCATTACCTAGCCCAGAGTATGTGCTCAGGGCTCTTGGCACTTCTTCTGGTTACACATGGTTCAGATACTATTGGCCACTTCTTAACATTAGTTTCTCATGGCTTGATTCCTAGGAAGCATTATTCCTCCCATTTTAAGAGGGCAGCCAGTTGAGTGATTCAATGAGTCAGGCCCAGTATCAGGCCCAAGGGACACAGTAAGGGGCACAGTACACATAGCTCTTGCTCTTGTCTGGGGTGCAGACACTAAACAAATAGTCAAACAGATTAAACATGCAATTATAGGTTTGAATTATGCTCTAAGAAAAAACAAAGCCGGGGACAGTGAATTACACCTGCAATCCCAGCACTTCAGGAGGCTGACACAGGAGGATCACTTGA